TTGTTGTTTTTCCATCCCATGATAATAATATGATATTGTTGCTTTGTAAATAAATGGTTGTCGTTTCCAAGGAATAAATAATATTGGATATGTAAAATATTGTTTTCATTGCGGAGAGGAGGAGATTCTGAAGTATTTGATGTAACAAAAGAAATTACACATAATTTTAATGTTTGACATGTTAACAAAAATATGTAGTGTCATAACAAGAAGTTTGAAAATAAAAACGTGTCGTTATGCCAATAACAATGGGAGAAATATATATTTTGAATTTTATGCTAATCAGAGTAAACTATAGCACTATAGTACAATAATATCAAGGCTTGGATTGCATTTAGCAATACTGGACACAAAAAATTAATGCCGAATATTTGATAAAGTCGGTATATTAACGTATAATAAAGAAACCTGCACTATCGGAAAATAATGTTAAGATTCGGATAGATTTTGCCAAATTTATAAAAGCTATATAACGACTGACTGCAGAAGAATAATATGGTCGGAAAACACAAAAATTGTTTCCAGTCTTATGGAATACAATATTATTGGAAGAGGCCAGGTGATACCATTTAGAGGCACTACATAAAAAAAACCAGTAAGGAAAGTAGTAAAGTCGGACTGGGTCGACTATATGATATCCTTCACCACTTTGGGTATATTGCATGTATATTGTATGTCAATGTATATATATATATGTATATATACATATATATATATATATATATATATTGGAACTATATCTAAATCTGAACCGATTTTCACGAAACTTAGCGCATATCATTCTAAGCTTAATTCAGTACGCTGTGCCAAATTTCGTGCAAATCGAAAGATATTTGGGGACTTTGCTGCACCATTTACCTTAAATCGGAGGAAAATATATGTGGGAGCTACATCTAAATCTGAACCGATTTTTACGAAACTTAACACACATCATTCTAGACTCAATGCAGTATGCTGTGCCAAATTTCTTACAAATCGAAAGATATATAGGGACCTTGGTACACCATTTACCTTAAATCGGACGAAAATATATACGGGAGCTATATCTAAATCTGAACCGATTTTTTGGAAACTTAGCTCACATCATTCTAGACTCAGTTCAGTATGCTGCGCCAAATTTCGCGCAAATCGAGAGATATATAGGGACTTTGGAGCACCGAAGAATAGTATGCTAAGTCTGAAAAGTGAGTTTTTCAGTAGAAGCTCTCAAAGTATGGAAGTTTCTTATATCTTACGTGCCATGCCAAGTACATTTTTGCTTATAACTTTGGTTTGGATTGGCCGATGATTACCAAAATTTCAGAGAATTTAAATTAAGGACCGTAGTATCTAAAAACGTAAAGAACTTTAAAACATGCTAAATCGACTTAGCATACTATGGTTTGGAGGCGTCGATATGGGAGCTATAACTAAATCTGAACTGATTTTTCCTTGGGCCAAACAAATGAGCTGTGGCAAATTCCATCCAATTCGAATCATAAATGCGACCTGTACTTTGTTTACAATTTAACATGGACAGACACACAGACGGACGGATGAACGAACATGCATAAATCGACATAGAAAGTGATTCTATGCATATCCTCAAAAGGAACCATGTGTCTATCTCGTTTCCTTTTTTGAAATATTTTTTTTAGCAATGTGGAGGTTCTTCCTAAATTATTCAAAATGGTTTGCTGATTAGGACTTTCAGACGATGAAGTGGTCAGTATCAAGCGCATATTTGAATCCCATCGAAGTTGTCAGTTGTTAAAATTTCCAGATATTCGTCAGGAATTTGGGATAAATGGATGACAGATACCAAATCGAAGGCTTTGGTGCAGGCACATCCTCCTGTAGAGATGAACATGGAAACCTGGTGGCGGATACAGATGGATTACCAGCCTAACAATTCAAGACCGGTGGCGGTCTGCTTTTGGCATTCCTGCAAAATTAATACGGCTATACAGGATAACTTTGGTACAATGTCAGCAGTTAAAGTAGGAAAGGACCTCTCGGAGTCCTTCAATACCGAACGAGGATTCAGACAAGGTGACAGTTTGTCGTACGACCTGTTTAATATCCTGCTGGAAAAGGTTATACGAAATGCAAATGTGAACAGAAATGGGACTCTGTACACCAAACAGCATATGCTACTCGCCTACGCCACAACATCGACATAATGGGTCGAACATTGTGAGCGGTAACAGCCACCTTTGAACGAATTGAAAGGTAGTCTGTCAAAGTGGGACAGGCAGTAAATGGCGAAAAGACCAAGCTGATGGTATCAACTGTGGCACATGAAAACTACTGCTTCGAGGTGTTGAACGATTTTATTTATCTCGGTACCGCCATAAACAAAACTAATAACATCAGCTGTGAAATCCGGAGGAGAATAGTGTTGGGAAACAGATGATACTATGGTCTGAGTAAGCAAATCAAAAGCAAAGCCTCTCGCCAGACCAAACTCACACTCTACAAGACGCTGATATTACCCGTGCTGTTGTATGAATCTGAAGCATTAGTACTTGCTCAAGCAGATGATGCAGATGTTAGAGTGTTTGAGAGAAAAAACCTCCGAAAAATCTATAGGCCGATCTGCGTCGATGGTGAATATCGCATCGCAGTCGAATGAACCATGATTTATACAATCTATTCTCAAACATCGACATAGTCGGACGGATTGAGCTGAAGCGACTATGTTGGCTAGGCCATTTTGTGAGAATGGATGAAGATGCCCCAGCTCAAAAGGCATATAAAAGCGAGCCAAGTGATGGTTCACGCAGAAGGGAAAGGCCACGAATCCGATGTAAAGATCAAGTAGAAAACAACATCTCGGAAAATGGTCCTTCATACGCACAAGACCGACGCGCCTGGAAATCTTTTTTAAGCTCGGTTTATGGAACAACCGTTCTGTCATAAGCCAGCCATTAAGTAAAATAAGTAACCAAGCTCCCGAAGATTCTCCGATTTTATCGACATTTACGACGACCGGCCTACCTGTGCGAGATGAATTTTTAACATCAAAAATTCCTGAACGGAATCTACGAAACCAAAATTGCTCTTGTATTTGTCAAAGAAAAACTGTAAAATGTACAAAATTTTATTTTTGTTCACTTCCATTTTTAACACCCTATAACTCACAACTGAATGCACCAAACAAAACCAGTAAGGAAAGTAGTAAAGTAGGACGGGGCCGACTATATGATACCCTTCACCACTTTGGGTGTATCCAACAGATGGAATCCTAACAGACGTCGCATTTTTGAAGGACCATTTACAAGAAATTAAACATGTCATTCTGAAACTTATACTAAATTTTGGTCAGATATAGAGTTGCTTCTTAAAATGGGACAAAATTATGTAAATAAATTTAAAGCAAAATATCGAAATCTAAACCGATTTCATCTAAACTTGTCACATGTTAGGTTACACTTATTTCAGTATGTTTTTTGCATTCGCCACATTTTGAGTTCTTCATTAACTTATAAATCCAAAATTCGTGCAAATCGAAGGATATAAATAAAATCCGACGAAAATATATATGAAAGCTATATCTAAATCTGAACCGATTTTCACGAAATTTAAAACACATCTTTCTAGACTTAATTCAGAACGTTAATTCAAATTTCCTGCAAATCCAAGGATATATATATATATATATATATATATAATACTATGCCAAATTTCGTGCAAATCGATGGACATATAGGGACTTTGGTGCACCATTTACGTAAAATCGGACAAATATATATATGGGAGCTATATCTAAATCTGAACCGATTTTTCCCAATTTCAATAGGGTTCGTCCTTGGACCAAATAAGTGAACTGTGCCAAATTTCATCCAAATCGGATCACAAATGCGACCTGTACTCTGTTAACAAAAATATATGGACGGACAGACGGACATGCATAAATCGACTTAAAAAGGGATTCTATGCATATTCTCAAAAGGAACCATGTGCCTATCTCGTTTCCCTTTGCCTGTTACAAACATATGTACAAAGACATAATACCCTGTAGCACAGTGAAGGGTATATCTCAGTGAAGGGTATAAAAACAGAAAATATTTTTTTACTGCGAAATGTCAACCTTCCAACGAGCATACATCTGAAATTGTTTGATCGAAACGTTACGAAAATTCTATCAGTACAGCCATTTTCCGAAAAAATAATGGATTTTTCCCCCAAACTAATACAATAATTATTTTAAGTTCCATTTGTCTTTTCAAATTAAAGAATATTCCAAAAATTAAAATATTGTGAAATGGTTCCACCCATCCTCATATTAATTAAATCTGCACAACGTAGCTCCATGTTTGTCATTCGTAAAATACAATGCAATCGAGAATAAATATTATTTTGTAATGAAAAAAATCAATATTTCTGCGACGCAAATATTCAGATAATTGCAAAAACAATTATAGATGTATGTATAATTACTACCGTCAATTATTATGAATTATTTTCGCATCATATTCGTCATTTCACAATTTCAAACATTTTTTTTATTGGTTTGGTTTTATTCGAACCATTAAATAATTTTCTCAGAAAAATATTATATAAATGTTGATATTGACTGTACATAACTGTGTTGTGTACAAGTCAGGTGAGTGTGTAAAAATAAATTTAAATGCTTTGCAAAGTAGCGATATTTTTTAATATATTTCTAATTTAATTTTCAGACTATTTTTATTATTCAATAAAATGTTTTTAAATGTGTGTACATGCATATCTACACTAGTCAATGTCGTTAATTTACTACTATCTACAATAATTTAATAAATAATAAAATAAATAAAGGGACAATTCATAAAATAAATAAATAATTACATAAATAAATTAATACACAAAAAATAAATAATTACACAAATAAATAAATAAAATCTAAACATATCTATGGCTGATACTTTTTCTACTTAAATTAAATTACGAAATATTTTCATACATTTACAGATTTCCACAAAATTCCATCTCTTGGCTCTTACTTTGTCTTACGTTTCAATGATACGCGTGGAATTTTACGTCATTTTTCTTGCCTGTACTAATTTATTAATGTCATGATATGTGGAAACCATTGCTGGATTTTCGAAGTCTTTAAATTCTGTACATTTTTCGAATGCCTGATCACAATCAACGCCATCCTGGCCGTCTTTAGCGGCACGCATATACTTGAAGAAACGTAAAATGTCGGGATTGTCAGAGGTTGGTTTACGCAATTCGTTTAATTCACTGTAAAGAAAGACAACAATTTAAATTTGTTTAAAAAAAATCGAATGAAATTAAATTTAAAATGCATCAAATATTATCAATTATTCACCACATGTGGTAATTAAACATGATCAAAACTTGAGGCATACTTTTAGGCATAATACTCAATAGCCAATTAATAAATACAATTGTACGTTGTTATCACACTTACCGACTTAATTGTGCCGACACCAGATTACTATACGGTGCATACTTTGCGGGATTTGCATACATCAAACAAATCGCCTTCTCCCGGCATTCTTCATTATCGGAATTCAATTTCAACTGAGCAAATACCGAATCCAATCTCGATAACAATGGGCTATAGAATGGATCATAGTTGGAGAGAAGCAATGATGAGGCAGGGACTTTTTGGAATTGTTGGAATGTATTCATATTTGCCGGAGCTGCTGGTTTTTTGGCCATCGGTGCTGACAGAGCCGAGGAACCACCAGATATTGAATTGGAATTTTTAAATGATGCCGATGTTATTGTCTGCAGTGCTCCCATATAGGAGTTTTGCATTAACTGATGCTGTCTTTCGTTCATGCCCAGGCGCGTAAAACTCAACGGTCCCAGTTGTGGCGAAGAATCGACACTGTTGTAGGCATATTGATTGCTGTATTGGGAAGCTTCTGTATAGGGGGGAAGAGAAATTAATTATATTAAAATTAAGAAATTTCATTAAAAAATCGTTCATGATTTTTCTGTAAACAAACCCGGTTGATTGTAGGCATAGGGTTTATGATCTTTCAGAGTATTATCAGTTGGTTGGAAGGGATCATTTAATACATCATCGGCCGCAAGGAACTTGTCACCATCACCAAAATTATCACGGAAATCCAATTCCTGTGGCGGATCCATGGGTCTTATGAACAAAGGTGCTGAACCTGAACTAATACCTAAACGATAAGAATTCCAATGTTAATTAATGAAATAGCAATAATATCATATTTAATTATATAGCCTACTCTATATAATTATATTTGTATTGCAAATTGTCATATTTATTAAAATTAATATATACAAATTAAAAAAATAGTACCGATAATTTACATAATTATGCATTAAATTCTTACATTCTATATACATATGTATGTAATCACAATGTTTCATTTTGAATGAAAATAAAAAAATAAAATAATTGATTTGATTTCAGCATAATCACTCGATGACAATTGTGCATTAATTGTATTATGTAAATTATGCTATGTAAACTTACCCTTGCCCAGAAGTTTTGTAAAGGAGCCAATAAGTGCCGGGATAAACATTGCAATCAGCAGGGATTTTAGAACTTGTAGACCCATGAATACAGGCCATAGGACTTTCTTTAGACCTGGAAAGCAAAGGGAGAGAAAAACATAATATTATTCGCAAAATCAAATGAAAACAAGTGAAAAAGCGTTATTTTCGGCCGGGCCAAACTTTGGATACCCTCCACCATAAATATATTGACAGATACTTGAAATGAAAATATGGGGAACATAACAAAAAGTGGACCTATACCGATATTATTATGTAAATCATAATGTACACCAAATACAAATTTCAGCTTATGGCTAATGGGGGTGTATACCCAATAAGAAGCCCATGTACCAAATTTCAGCGAATTTGGTTGAAAATCGCGCTCAAGAACCCTTAAATACCGAAAATTGGGGGGAACCCTTATATGGGGGCTACCGGAAAAAATGACCTATATTTATAATTTTTAGTATAGAGATTTGCTACCGAATAAGAACTCAAAGTACTGAATTTCAGCGAATTCGGTCGAAAATGCGATCAGACCCCCCAAAATAACGCAAAATTAGGGGTACCCTTAAAGGGGGGCTTTCCGAAAATATGGACCCATATTTATAGTTTTTAGTGTTGAGATTTGCTACCCAATAAGAACTCAATGTACCAAATTTCAGCGAATTCAATTGAAAAACGCGCTCAAAAACCTCAAAATACTGAAAATTGGGGGGTACCCTTATATGGGAGCTTTGCCTAAACGTGGACCGATAAAGCCCATCTTCGAACTTGACCTGCCTGCAGACAAAAGACGACTCTATGCAACATTTTGGCGATCTATCTAAATTCGTTTAGACGCTAGAGTGATTACAACAGGCAGACGGACAGACGGAAATGACTATATCGTCATAGAATTTTACGCTGATCAAGAATATATATTCTTTATGGGGTCGGAAATGATTATTTCAAAGAGTTACAGACGGAAAAACAAAATTAATATACCCTCCATACTATGGTGGAGGGTATTATAAGAATGCTATGCTACACAAAAATATGAATTTTTTGTACTCTGTTCGCAACATCTTAAAATATTCGACAGAACACTTTAAAGTGTATTACTGAGCAGAGTTAATTTAAAAATTCCTATATTAGTCGTTTGGAATTTTGAAATACTTAAAATAGAGGTTTTGAATTATGCACATACGTTGCTTCTAGTCGAAGTTTGTATACACGATATTTAAAACCGGTTTCAACCCATTTAGGTATATTTATTTACAAAGGTCCATGTTCAGGCATTGCTCCCATATAAAGTTCTCGCTTATATTTAGGCTGTAGTTAGGTATTACAGGTTTTCAGACGATACAAAACGTCATCGCAAAAAAAATGTGAATATAGGCCAAGCAGCTATATAATGGTAACTACCGTACATGTAAAAGAAGATGTTAAGTTCGGCCCGGCCGAACTTTTTATACTCTCCACCATGAGGATGACATTCTAAATATCTAAAATTAAGGGTAGCTCCTAGGAAAAAAACTCATGTTATTATTCCAATTCGGTGGAAAAACGTGTCCAAAATCCCCAAAGTGCCGTCATATGGAGTCTACACCAAAACGTGGACCGATATACGCCATTTACAATAGCAAACATCCTAGGAGTACTAACCGGGTATATTTGGTTCTACGGATCCGGTTATTAAAAAATGGGTATCATTTTAAAGCTTATAAAAATACCTTTCCATTGAGTTATCTCAAACTGGGCCCATTTTTTTTTTTTTTTTTTTTTTTTTGAAAAACTCCCTAAAATCCTTTCTCAGATTATAGACTACAATTTGCCCTTTCAAAAATGGTGCGGTATGTGGCTATATCTGTTGTGGATCAAAAGATATGGGTGTTAGAACCCTATAAAAACAAGGAAATTCTGTCGCGTAGCCGGTGTTGGTGTCTGTACATAGGACAAAGTCTTAAATGCACAGCCGAAGGCCGCCCACCCAAAAACTTTTCTATTGTCGCGTATTGGTATTTCACTGGGTACCCTTCACCGCACTATGGTACAGGGTATTATGTCGTTGTGCATATGTTTGCAACAGACAGAAGGAAATGAGATATATCCACGGTTATTTTTGAAAATATGCATAGTTTCGTCCGATTTTATCTTAATGGTGCACCGAATTTTCAATATTTGCCCGATTCTATAGAATTAAAAATGGTATGTAGGGGAGACTGGGGCACCTTCGGCATCGGGGCACCTTCGGCAATCGGGTTTTCGATATGAAGCTCTCACCGTACATCACTAGTTTCGATACATAGGTATCGTATATCGAAATAAAAACTGACACAAAGTTTGAAATTTCTACCTAATAAACTTATTTAGATATATGCGTTTTTGTATTTTTATAGATGTTTCTGTAATATTTCAATTCCATTTCGTAAGTATTTCGTGTATAAAACTTGTTAAATATTTAAGACAATATTATTAAAAAGTGGTTAACTACGATGTGTATTATTATAGAAATATTTAAAAATATAATGTTTTTACAAAACTGATCAAAAAAATGAAAAAAAACTATAAAAAGTACATTCGGGGTACATTCGGCATTTTAAAGTGGGCACATTCGGCCATATACAGATTGTGCAATATTATTTCCTTAAAATATTTTTGAGTTTGTCTTTAAAACTAATCCTTTAATGTGGCTCGAAATTGCATATATAATATCAAACGTACTTGTATTGACGAAAATGCCATGGAAACCCCCTATTTCTGATGGTGTGTGCGACCTTGAGATGTAAACGTCCGCCGCTACAAAATAAGGTCCTATAATTCAAACATTGTGTGACGTATTAAACCCGAATAGAGCCTTTAGAGGATCAGAATTTAAACCAGACTGATAGCGATGACAATTACCCGGCAATGACTATGGTGCCGAATGTGCCCCATCAAATGCCGATAAAGCTACCCCGGGTTGGGGCACATTCGGCGAATTTGACTTTTTTTACAAAAATGTAAAATTTTTTAACTAATACTAGTTTTTTATATCTTTTTGGTACTATTTTTTAAAATTAAGTGTCCGAAGACAATAATCAGCCATAAAGTTGTTATATATGTTGAATAAAGTACTGAGATATAGAGCGTTACAAAAAAAAGTGCCAAAGCTATAATACCCTGACAACATAGTTGTCTCCCCTATATGTTTTTTTTTATTGGTTCAAATATTTATGTGGATCACATTTTTTTTTCGTTTGTAATTCTACAAATTGATTTATTTAAGCCATTATGTACACCAAATACAAATTTCAGCAAATGCAAAAATGGAAATTCACCTAAAATCTGAAAACCCCAAAACGTGGATAACGCATGGTAAAATCCTCAAACTACTACAATTTAGATTGCAAAGTTATATTAGGCTACGCCTAAGGGGGACCAATATTGATTACATAGTGTAGGAATTAGCGAATATATTCCCTATATATGTTAATTTCGAACCCAATATTTTAGTTTTGTATCTCAATTCTTTAATTCAGGAAGGAGAGATGCCTAAATATTGGTCGATATATTTCATTATCGTTAGGTTCGTGTTTTTATCACGATATCCTTGGCAAAATGATTACAACAGATTGCTAAAATGTCTAAAAATTCCATACTTTTTAGGGTAAAAAGTGATTATTTCGTGTAACGATTATCCTCCATACTATGGTAGAATACGCTTATATATGGACAACCCCAACACACGGAACAAATCAAGTAACTATTTTAATATAAAAAGGGGGTTACATGGGCACTGCCCCTAAAAGGGGGCGAATATTAATAATTTTTGGTATGGAGATTTGTTACCAAATACAAATACCAAATTACATCGAATTCGGTTGAAAAACGCACTCAAGAACCCAAAGATTTGCTACCCAATAAGAACTCAAAGTACTAAATTACAGCCAATACGAGCGAAAATTGCCGTCAAAGCCCCCCAAAAACTGAAAAATGTGGGGTACCGCTATATGAGGGCTACCAGAAAAAGTGGACCTATATTTATAATTTTTAGTGGAGAAATTCGGTACCCAATAAGAATCCAATATATCAAATTTCAGCGAATTCACATTTAGATGAAATTCAAATTCAAAATTATTATAATTTTTAAATTGCTAAGTATATATACCGAAATATAGTCGTTCCCGTCACGCTTATGGGTTCTTATTTTTGGGTTTTTTATAAAATATTTTTATAGTAAATATAACTACAATATTTGAGAGTTCTACTCCTAACTAATCTTCAACTAAGGAACCTCCCTGTGTGGAGTAAAGAGAACTGTTTTATATTATACACTGATCCGTATATTAAATCCTAACTTCCGTCGATTCGTCTTCCACATATACTACAACAAATGTTCCATTAAATTAATCAATATATCACGTTAGTTAAATCAAGGCAAATGCTGTCAAATGTCCGCGCTATTTATTGTGGCTTTTAAAATCTTATAAATTTCCCAAATAAAGGAAATTAAATATGTTCTACTTACCTGTTAGGAAAAGTAAACGTCCAGTGGCCAATGTTCTTGGTATATCCAAGCTAACTTTAGCACCAATGGGTTTGTCAGTTTGTCGAACATTTCGTGTCTTTTCTTTGAGTGAATTTTCCGTAGTAGTGTCCGTGTGATTCTTTTGCAATTCAACAACCAATCCGGGCACTGGCTGGTATTCACCCTTTTCAAAGAAATTCTGGACATATTCAACTAATAAATCTTCCAAACTCTTTAGATCGGACGTCAAGTCATTATTTTGTTCGATGGCATTTATTTTGTTGTCGATATTTTGTTTACGGACATCACGAACAGCTTTTTGTGTACCATTGACGGTGGGTACCATTGTGGTTTCAATTCTTGAATGTTCGACACGTTTATTTCCATTAGTCATTTTTGCATTTGGTGTGGCCTGAGGCAGTAGCACTTTTGGAGCACTTGCCATTCGATCGTGGTGGGAGGTATGTTGCATTGCCACGGCAGCACGTAAATCACTTTCTATCGGTTCGAATACACGAAACTGCCCAGAAGGTGTAAAAACACTACGTGATATAACCTCTGGATCTTTGGGTACAAATGGACGAAACATATCGTCATCACTGTCACCGGACATTTCGGTAAATTTTCCATTTGTCGATAGGAGTTGACTATATCGGGGAGTTGTTGTACTTGCTGCTGCCTTCATTGTTCCCTGTGATGTATGCACTCGACTCACTAGAATAATCAAAATAAGGACAGTACTTATCGTCCGTGCTGACTGGGTAAACCATCCCATCCATGTTCTTTGATGATTTGTTCGATGTTGTGTCTTAAGGATAGTATCGTTGTCTTCATGTTTCTCTTCCATCCGGCTATTTACAATGTTGGTAGTTCTTTTGTGTACCTTATTTGTATGCATATCTGCCATTATGTCAACGGAAAATGTATCTCGTATCTGCTCGATGGTTATTATGTCAATATCTGCACTGTGGACTCTTTTAGGTTTCATGTTAATATTGTTGTTTTTATTTTAAGGATTTAAGCTAAATCCTTTGAGCTCATAATACACTATTAAGTTCGTAAGTGTGTTTACAAACGATGTTGCTATTATTTTTAATATGGCGGCGATGGTCTTTAAAGTTTCAAGGCAAGTCTCCGTCTATTCAGTATTGTATGTGCATTCATAACCGTACAGTACAGCTTTATCTGAAAATGAAGTAAAAACGAAAAAAGAGGATTAACATAAAACTATAACATAAAAGGTTGACAAAAGTTTGCAAGTTTCAAGAAAATAGTTTTGAAAGGAAAAGTAAAAAGAATTTCAGAGAAATATGTATTTTAAAGTTTACTAAAGTTTTCAGTATTGATTGGGATGGTAGTTGAAGTTTTGGTTGTGTATCTGAAAAGATTTTTAAAATTACATTAAGTTTAAATTGGAAAAGATTTATAAAATTCCGGACAAAATAGATTCAAGATACCAACAAATTTTGCGGGAACCACTTTTGGTCACATCGAAGAAGTTCTATTTTAATATACGCACTGTAGCAGAATAATAGAACGTAAAGCAATTTTAAGAAATGATTTATGCAATGTGCAACATTTTGAAGGTAACTTCATAATGCCTCTCTCATAGAAGTCCTGCTCTCAGTTTGCAAAAAAGAAAAAAAACCCTAGAAATCAATTTTCACGATCCTCCCTAGATATAATTTTTTTTATCATTAAAGAAATTTTGCAATGCAAGAAAAGATGATAATCGCTTGGTGCCAAGTCCGGACTGTATGGCAGATTCATTACAACTTCCCAATCAAGCTCCCGAAGTTTCGGGCAAGTCACTGTATATGTGTGTGGCCTAGTGTTTTCCTGGTGGGACTCGACACCTCTCTTGTTGGCCAATTCTGGCCGTTTTTGGTCAGTTGCTATCTTCAAACGGTCCAATTGTTGACAGTAGAGATCAGAATTTAACCTTTGGCCATATGGAAGCAACTCATAATAACTAAATCCCTAAATAATCCCCTTCCAGAGTCACCGAATTCATAGGAGAAACTTCCTGGTCGTTAGTCCTGGTTTGGGCATCATTTGAGGTGCTTCACCGTTCTTTGGTCACGATCGTTTCCCCACAGGGTTATCGTATGTGATCCATTTCTCATCTGCAGTCACCAGATGAAAATTCGATCCATCTATTTTTTCCGTTAATTGATGCTGCACCCAAACACCGAGCTTCTTTTTGAATCCAGCTTTGTGTAAATGATTTAAAGCAGTTTTGTGGTCGATTTTTAGCTCCTGGGCGATGTTACCACTTCTAACATGCCGGACAACTTCGACAATTTCTCCGATTTTATCAACATTTTCGACGACCGACCTAATAGATTTCTTTTCCCCCAACCTAATATATACCTTGTGAAGTCTCCGGTAAATAATTGGAGGTGTTGTACACATAATTAAAATAATAATATCCAGTCCACTTTATTATATAACTACTGAAAACGAATCCACATTATGAGAGTATACCAAAATTGGAATATGTATACCATTTGAAGTGCAGTCATGGTACATGAAAAAAACATTAAATTATATGGACCGTACAATCGATTTGAAGATTTTTTATTTATTATTTTCACTATGTTACCGAACAAATCATCCTTATATATGGTCCTTAGCTAAAAACGGAGCAACCTTTTGGAAAATTTCAACAGCTGGGCGTGACCGTCAAACGTATATCTACGACCAATATTGTATATGGCCGAATGTGCCCCACATTAAAATGCCGAATGTACCCCGAAGGCACATTTTATAGATTTTGTAATTTTTTTCTATCAATCTTCTTAAAACATTATATTTTTAATTATTTTTATAAGAATGTTAAAAATTTACAAATTTTGTACACGAAATACTTACGAAATGGAAATATTACAAAAAAATCTGTAAAATTACAACCAGTAAGATAAGTAGTAAAGTCGGGCCGACTATATGATATCCTTCACCACTTTGGGTTATGTATATGTCTCCTAACAGACTCCGTCTTTTCGAAAGAACATTGACATGAAATTGAACGAACTTGAATATGTGATCTGTATATCTTTCTGGAACCTATGCTAAATTTCATTTCATTCGGGCAAGTTTAGAGTTGTTTGCGTATAATGGGACAAATTTATGGAAATCAATTTAAAGCAAACTTGACACGCGCTATTCGGTAGGCCGCACTCTTCCAAATTTAATCTCAATCAGACACCCGTTTAATATATATATATATATATATATATGCAGACGAAAATATATATGGGAGCTATATCTAAATCTAAACCGATTTTCACGAAACTTTGCACACATTATTCTAGGCTCAATTCATTGTACCGTGCAAAATTTCATGCAAATCGAAATATACATAGGGACATTGGTACACCATCTACATTAAATTGGACGAACATATATATGGGAGCTCTATCTAAATCTGAACCGATCTAAATCTGGACTGATTTCCAGGAAACTTAACACACATCATTATAAGCCTAATTCATTACGCTATGCCAAATTTCGTGCAAATCGAAAGATATATAGGGGCCATTGGTACACCATTTACATTAAATCGGACGAAAATATATATGGGAGCTATATCTAAATCTGAACCGATTTTTCCAATTTCGTCCTTGGGCCAAATAGAGTAACTGTGCCAAATTTAATCCAATTCGGACCATAAATGCGACCTGTACTTTGTTTACAATTTAACATGGACAGACAGACAGATGGACGGACATGCATAAATCGAGTGATTCTATGCATATTCTCAAAAATAACCATGGGTCTATCTCGTTTCCTTTTGCCTATTACAAACATATGCACAAAGACATAATACCCTGTACCACAGTATGGTGAAGGATATAAAAAACCGTGCATCTAAATAAGTTTATTAGCTAGAGATTTCAAACTTTGTGACAGTTATTTATTTTGATATTCGATACCTATGTATCGAAGCTAGTGATGTACGGTGAGAGCTTCATATCGAAAACGCGGTTGCCGAATGTGTCCCGATGCCGAAGGTGCCCCAGTCTCCCCTACTTGTCTAACTGCATTTTCAATTCAATTTCTTCACATTTCATGCATTTTATTTCAAGGAAAAATATTTAAAATGATTTAATAAATAAATATTCTCAAATTGAGGGCAAACTAAAAGAAAATCCATTAAATCCATTTTTAAAACTTTATGAAAATAACTATTAAATCTAATGGATTTGTCATTTACTGCAATCATTTCGAAGGCATTAAATTGGATTGTTATAGGATATACTTTAATGGATTCGACGAGTAATACGAACAAGATTTTTTTATTTGCTCTTCATTTCCTTTTTTCGTTTTGTTTGTTTGTGTTCTACCAATTTATTTGTTTATAGTGCCATTCAGAATAACTGCTATGGCGTTGTTGTCGTGTTGTTCCTTTCCCTTTCGTCTATGTTTTGTTTTAAGTGACAGACAAATAAATGATGTCATACATTTAGTCATTAGCACATCATTATGCCAGCCAATATCCAATTTTCTGTCATTATAGACATACTACATAATAAGTGTCCTTGCCTATATAATTTTATATAATAACTATCAATGCATATAATTATATGGTGATTAAATTATATGGCTCAAAAAACAATTAGAGGCGAAAACAATTTCTTTAGCTTGAGTGTTTCTTATGTAATTGTTTTGCGTTGAAAAAGAGAAAGAAACGAAACAATAACAATGATTCGTTTTGAGGTTCCCTGATGGGATGGGGGCATGGATTATTCATAATCAATAAAAAAAATTATTACATCCACTTAACTATAAATGTGTAGGAAACATAAACATAGAATCATTTCATAGTGCAATCGATTGTTATTTGTACGTTTATATGTAGCACGCAGATGAATAAAATATATACTTTTGAGGATATGCCTAAATCCCTCGGTAATATTACCGATATTTCTGAATATTTAAGCTCTAATATGTTTCGATAAAAATGATGTCGCACACTATTTATCTGGCGTATAACCGGGCTTCACTGATTCTCACCAAGATACGTTTCTTTTACTATTCTAATGAAGTATTTATTTATTCTTGAATATCGATAATATCCTCTTCAAAGTAATCATCTACAGATAACAATATGTTCGAAGATGATCTTCCTTTTCGGTATTTTGATGATTTCAGCAACATCGGATATAATTCATTGAGTAATTGCTGAGAATCGATTAACTCCACATTTTGAACAATTTTAAATTATTGTGCGAGAGACTTTATATTAGAATTGGAAAAAATTCATCCATTATTTTTATATGAAATATACTTTTGAGGATACTTTTTGAGGATATCCCTAAATCCCTCGGTAATATTACCGACATTTCTGAATATTTAAGCTCTAAAATGTGTCGATAAAAATGATGTCGCATACCATTGATCTGGCGTATAACCGGGCTTCACTGATTCTCACCAAGATACGTTTCTTTTACTATTCTAATGAAGTATTTATTTATTCTTGAATATCGATAATATCCTCTTCAAAGTAATCATCTACAGATAACAATATGTTCGAAGATGATCTTCCTTTTCGGTATTTTGATGATTTCAGCAACATCGGATATAATTCATTGAGTAATTGCTGAGAATCGATTAACTCCACATTTTGAACAATTTTAAATTATTGTGCGAGAGACTTTATATTAGAATTGGAAAAAATTCATCCATTATTTTTATATGAAATATAGGACTTTATTTAACATGCTTCGGAATATCCGATTTGGGCCAAATATGCACCGTTTTGTTGTATGATTTGTTGCCATTTTGCCAAATGCATAGCAGAACCTTCCTGGCCGTTAGTCCTGGGTTGGCCACCGATTGAGGTTCTTCACCGCTCTTTGACCACAGGGATATCGTATGTGATCCCTTTCTCATCTGCAGTCATCA